ATGACTGCCGCAGTCCTCAGATGTATGACGAAGCAGATCGTAAACCAAATTTCTTTGGTCTTCGATCGACTCAGGCCAAGCACGAGCATTGCCCAGTCGTTCAAGATCAGGCAGGCCCGGTGTCTTGCTGGAGTCATGGCCATGCACCACCATGATCAAACGGTCGCGGTCGGCCGCAAGGACATCAGACCGCACGGCTGAAAGTCTGGCCACGCCGATCTTCTTCAGCTTCTCGAAGCGTTTTTCAGCCTCCCGCTCTTTTTCTATCAGGCGGCCAGCAGCGGCTGCTTCGGACGAAGCATCAAGTGTCGCCCATTCCTCCTTCTTGGTCTTGTACTTTTGCAGGGCGGCAGTCAGGCTAACTTGCTTGTCAGTCCTGCGACGTTTGGCTGATTCGCCGGCTTCAGCCTCCAAAGTAGCGAGGTCTTCAAGCTGAGACTCCGCCGGCGCCTGTTGCAAGAGTTGCTGCTGCTCCAGCCCTCGCTGTCGCTTCAAGCCAGCTCTTGAAAGCGGGTTCAGGCGGCCGTTCAGAACCCGACGACCCAGTGAGCTGCGGCATCCTTGCGAGCCGCCGCTCGGAGCAAACAGGCGACGGTATTCTTGCAGCAGTTTCAGGCACGGCTTTCTCGGGAGGATGCTGTGGGGCTCGCGACAGACGAGTTGGTCGGCTGTCGGCCCGTCGAGGCGGACCTTCATTAATGACCTGGCACTTCGACAGAGACTGAGAGCAGAAGATTTTCAAATTTCTGGTCCCATGCAGGACGACAAGATGGACTTGACATGAGCCGAGTTGCCGAAGGTGTCCCCGCGAAGTCTTGCCCTTTCTCCCCTCCGAGAACTGCTGCAGCCAGCTGAAATTCTGCTCAATCTCGCCGGTGCTCGGGAAGCAACTCAGGACGAGGGCAGCCTCAGGACAGAATGGCTTTCGTCGTCTCACGTTTAATCCCACAGCTCAAAAACACTGGGCTAGGTAAGGAGCCGCTTCAGACAAAGCCGGGAGTTTGTCAGACCAATGCCGCATGGTCCTGGACCAGATCTCATTCAAATCCTCGCCTCCGGTCCTCAGTCATGCACTGTTCGTCTTGGAGTGAAGGGCCTCCGAAGAAAAGACTTGTCGCCGGGAGGCTGTGACTTCACCAGCAAGGCTGTAGGACGTGCCAAGAGGAACTCTTTGGCCAGCTGTGTCACCTGAGCGGTTGAACATCACAGCCTCGGTCCCGCTGAAGCGGTGTGGGCTCCAGACCTCCACTTGTGCAGCCTCTGCTAGCGGCTTGAAGATGTCAGGCCTTGGCATCGGATGTTAGTAGCGGTGATTCATTACAGGAGCAGAATCGCACAGAAGATCATGGATCCTGTGGCTCTGGCAAAGCTTCGTCGCTGCACAGGGTATGGTTGACATCAAACGGAGAAAGCGATGCCTGGACGCCAACCTCCACATCGGCTTTCAGGCCTTGAACAAAAAGCTGAGCGATGTGCGAATGGCACCGAGTTCTTTGGCCACGAAGGAACGTATCTTGTTCCTGTTGGCGCCGCTGTGCCAGAAGATCATCTTTTGCTTTACAACCAGGCACTTGTTCTGCTCAAGCTTTAGAGTCGCCTGCAGTCTTTGTACGTAGCCATGTGCATAGGCATCATCCAGAACCAGCGGCTGCTGCAGCTCTCCTGCCGGACTCCGAAAGTCGAAGAGTCGATTGATCAGACGCTCGAGCTGCTGAAGATTGTGGGCTGTCGCAGCCAATCGCAGATGTTGGCCGTCCAGTGAGTGGTTGAATTTCCTTGGATCTCTTGCCAGAGAAGACTTGCAAACAAGACTGATTCCTGCAGTCGCGTCTCGCAGCGGCACAGGCAAGCTCCGCGATCAAGCCAAGTTGGAGGAGCTTCTCCGGCTGAAAGCATTGTTGAAGAAGCTTAGTGGCCCAACCTCAGACAGCACAGACAAAACATCGGCTAAGCAAAGGCCTCGCCATCCACGGGGACTCATGAACGAGCACGATCAGTTGAGTGGCCTGACAGTGCATCATCCACCGCTGCGAGATGGCTCAGGACATTGCAGACCGCATCTATGTTCTCAGCCACGTTGACGCAAGCATCGCAGACGGTGTTGAAACGTTGGGGTGCAAAGCCGAAGTGGCACAATCGCCTCAGGCTTTCGTCCACACCCTCAAGCTGCTTCTCTGCCGTCAGCCGCTGGAGCTTCTGCGAGTTTCGCACAGCCCTGCAAAATCCTCCTGGATTTTTCCCACTACCATCGGAAAATCCAAGCACCCAGCTCTGGAGAAGACCCTGCACATCCGGGTCAGACGACAAGGCCTTTTCGAGCGACCTTTGTCCACTATGGACGGAGCATCTCATAATCGCCTTCAATCCCGGCAGGGTTCCCTGGACCTCATGTGAAGGTGCGGTCCTTCAAACATTCAATATGCTGTTCTTGAAATCCGCAGAAACTGCAAGCGAGGCACTTTCCTCAGCCGTGCCGCCAGAGGCTCGCTAAATTCCCCGTCGGCCATAAAGATGCGGATCTTGTCTTTGAAAGCATTCCGGAGGGCTTCCTCCGGCAAGAAGCTGGCCAGGGTGTCAGGCAGCGATCTGGCTTTCTCCAGTGCGGCCTCGGCTGGCAGGGCTACTGTACTGGAACCCGATCTGCCCTGGCTCACGTGCTGCCCAGCCTTCTCAGCCGTGGCCAGGTCTAGCATGCGGCAATGAACGGACCAGTCGGCCATGACGTACCGCACCTTCAAAAGCTCGAAGCCGCCTCTTGCATCCTGCAACACACGACGCACTGAAAACCGGCATGGATACTACTCTTGGCATTCGGCTCCTCAGCCAAGGCCACTGCCCGAACGGGTTGCTGCAGGCGACGGCGGTCCACGTTGAAGGCGGCCTCAGCCGCAGCCTCCATGATGTTGTAAAACATTCCTCGGGACGAACGCCCCGTTGGCCATAAAGTCGGATTTGTGCGATTGTTGCTCAGACACCGCCTCTGGTATTCGTGCCCGGAACCTCCAGCAAGTAGAACTTCCAGCGCCGTCAAGCATTGGGCGGCTGTGGGGCCGCCAGTATCAGACGAGACCAGCCGTTTCACGGTTGTCTTATCTTCGTCCACCCCCTGGCCTTCATCGTGGTCCTCAGCCTTGCCTTCAAGGAAACGGACAGCAGCCAGGTGGAATTTGCTTTTCTGGGCATTGGCATTCTGCTTCAGGCCGCCGTGCCGAAGCATGTCCTCTATTTGAAGAGCAGCCGGTCTGCCGCCACACCTGACATGAAGCACGAGAAGAGAAAACCTCAAGCACACCATGCACCGCTGTCAATGCCATGCCATTCGCGATCCCAGGCACCGAAGTCCAGCACCAACGCTGCATTCGATCCAAGGCCGACTACGCAGTGGCACGCATTCCTTGCCGCCGAGGGCTGCGGCATACTCACGGCAGACTGAGCACCCGATGCCGAACTTCGTGCCCGGATCAGACCGGATCAGCCATGACCTGGTCGAACCTGGCATGACAGACTCGCTCGTCCTGTCTTACCGCCTTCGCAAGATTCCCGCCTTTGATGGTGTAAGTACACCGCTGTTTCCAGTCCGCAGCATGTGCTATCCACCGGCACTCGTTGCAATGCTTTTTGCCTTCCTCAGTCAAGAAAGGATTCACTGCAGGAACATGGCGAGGCAGGCACACATGGTCAGAAGGCAAGTCGCGGGGCATCGCCGCAAATGCTTCTCTTCGGCAATACGCTCGGCCATTGTTGCCCTAGGAGGCCCTGTGAACTATTGTCACGACTGTCGCAGGTGCATGCCGCATACATTGGCATCGGACTTGCTATGCTTCTACTGATGTCATGCCTCTCTACAACCGTCCTAAGGATCAAGCCTGGGCCTACACGGCCTCTGCATCGGATTTGTTATGCAGCTCATGATACTCATGATGACATGCCTCAGGCTGCCTTGTCAGACTCAGCGATGCAACAGACTTTCGGCGCCACGACTGCTAATCGTCTCTCTGCAGGGCGAGACTAGAAACTTGCCCAAGCCCCATGCTTCAGGCGGTGCTGTTTCTAATAAGCAACACCCACCGCAAAGAAAATGCTTCAGACTGGGCCTTGAATCCTGTGCGATTGCATACACAACGGCTCAGTCACGTTTGTTCTTCTTCTCCTTCTTCTCCTTCTTGGACTTCTTGCTCACAGGCTCCACCTGCCCAGGACAACAAAAGCATTTCTCCCGCAGAAGTGTCCCCAAGCTTGCCTCCTGGTTGCAGTGTGGGCAATAGTAAGCCCGCTTCGAGCCCTGTCGCACAGGCACAGTCTTCTTCACGTGTTTGAGGTAGATCTGTCCTCAGGCAGGAAGATTCAGCAAGAGACACAAGGTTTCAGGCTTTGCAACCAGTTCGGCCAGGGGGCTGGCGATGTCCATCACATGGCCACGGGTGAGGAGGGTCTGCTTGGAGAGCTTGCCGCCATATTCCGCAGCGAACCCCATGCATTCCAGGTCCTTCTTGTTCTCAGGCGACAGATGATCTTCTGCTTTCTGGATGATATTCCTTCCCAAGAGGTACACACGACCTCTTGCTGCACGAGGGCACACAAAGGCCATATGGCCTGGGATGGTGGCGACCTCTGCACGTTTCAAGTAAGAGTTTGACTGACGAGTGTCTCTTATTATGTATTCGCCCTTGCAGGTGCAAATGCTCGAAAGCGGCCTTGTGGAAGAAGCCACCATCGAAGATTCCCTTGCTCTCGGCTACCCGATGATACCACAGGCCGACACGCTCGTCAGCCTTCTCAGGCGAAGGTGGAGTCCCGCAGGGGAACAAGACCACGTCATGCTTGTCAGACCAGCCTCATACGGGGGCGACAGGGGACTGAGACAGCCGGTCGCTTGCAACTCCAGCCTGCCATTTGCACCTGATTCGGCGGGTCAAACAGTATATCCAACGTCGTGATCTTGCTCCTTGGAGGAGGCAGTTGAAATCACTCAGCCGGTCATCTGTCTGTGTATCGTCCGGACTTGCATGTCTAGTTGCTCTGGTGCCGACTGCATCATGAATTTCAAGAGGTCCCGCATGCCGCTGTGGTGCTGCACGGCCAACCCCTTCACTTTGAAGCCCTCTTTGATCTTCACCAATCCATACGTGGACTTCGTGGCCGGAGTCTTGCCCTTCTTCTGCATCAGGAGACTCACAAGATTATCCACCTGGTCGAAAGAAGCAAAGTCGATGTCGTGTAATGGGATAATATCCGGCTACTTCAGGTCCCGGGCCCGACTAATGGCCGCAGCAGTCGCTGCATTCGGGATGTCAGACGCTCCTCATCAAGGAAACGTGGAAGACAGCATAATTCATAGTCATGAAGAGCAGCCCGAGAAGAACTTACACAGATTTTCCTGCCTGAGCCCGCCATGCCAAAAATGCAGCCCGGGCTGTGCACACTGGGATCTAGCACTCGGAGCCCGAACTGCAACTTTCGTATGCTTCCCGGCAAACAATCCAAGGTCATTCGACAAGACGGTGCAAGAGACTGAGATGGTGACTGACTGCACTGCTCCCGCAATGCTGACCCAGACCTAGAGTCAGCAGCAGAGGTCAAGGCTGCCGTGCCTTGAAGTATCAAGCAAAGCTGGGGCTCCTGCTTCACATCTCGCTGCACGCAACGGAACCTGTCCAGGCCGTCATTGTCATTCATTGCAGCACACGATCACACCGACACACACACACACACATACGTGCAGAGGCCAGCAGAGACGCACACGTCTGCCACTTCAACGTCGCTCTGCATGTTTTACTGTGCTTGCAATGCTTCGCGAATCACCGCAGGCCATGCTCCTCTGCAAGCTGCTGGCAAGACCGGCGTTTTTGGAGCACCGGTTCAGCCATCGCAAGCCACATCAGACGGACTTCCTCGGCAACCTCCCGACTGGCATTGCTCAGTCTGAGGACAGACCGTGCTTTCTTGTCAGGCGGGCCCGGGTTGCAGGCATCAAACAATTCCAACAAACTTTCCGCTGCCTTCCAGGGGCTCATATGAAACAAGGCCTTTTTGGTAGCTGCCTGGTGAACCGTCATGGCCAATGCCCACGCATCGGCCTTCACAGTCAAAAGTTGCTTGAGGATCTTCTCAGACATGCCCTTGGCAACCTCAGGCGCTCGGTAGGCATAGGTGTACACCCCTGCCCCGTCCTCCACGAAATCCTCTGCCAGTGGAAGCCGGTATGTCATCCCGAAGTCGATGATGAAACAGGAGTTTGTCAATGGATCATAAAGAATGTTCTGCGGCTTCACATCACCGTGTATATGCTCAGTCCTCCTGTGCAGGTGGGCCAAGCCGGCGAGCACTTGATGGGTGAGGGCCAACTGCTTCTGAGCATCAAAAGCTCCAACGTTGTGCAAGTAATGCAGGACGGAGCCCGTGGCCACATAAGGCATGATCATGAAGGACATCTGGCCGGGAACGAACTCATCCTCAGTCACCACCGACTCTGCGAGCAACGGCAGAAAGGTCTCGTGAGCCAGCTGCTTCAGCAAGGCGACTTCCTCAGACAGGTGGAAATTCGTGTTGCTGACCTTGGCCGCATAGATGCGATGCGAAACCCGGTGCCTTACTTTCATGATGCCGCCGTAGCCGCCCTGTCCAACCCCGGCCTGAGAGCCACAGACGATGTAGTCGCCGAAGGTGATGTCGTCCGGAGCACGGTCAGACAACAGAGGCTCAGGTGCCACAGGCGGGTCGGTTCGCTGAGAGTTTCTCAGACGAACGCCTGCCTTCTCTGCTGCCTGCCGTTGGTTCGAGAAGCCAAGCCTGGACGCCGCCAGGAATTCTTTTCGTTCGTTGTCCCCCAAGTCACGCCAGGCACTAGCCGCCTTTCGTGGACTCAGGCGACGCTGCTGGCAAAATAAGGCGAACGGCTTCACGGCTTTCTTGACGACGCCAGCAGCGACTGCCCTCTGCAGCTGGGTCGCCTGCCTCTTGGCAGGCCGCTTCATGGCGGCACTCAGACTCCGAGCACAAAAATTGCGGATATTGAGAGATTTGACCAAGTCGCACCTTCACCATGTTGTTTGACAGATCACGTACTAACTTCTGCAATCCTCGGGTGTTTTACCTCGTCTGCCATCCTTGAGGGCGAAAAGTGCAATCTGCTGGGTCCACGTCTCAAACTGGACGTGCTTCAGGCTTCAGCTGCATGGTTAAAAGTGCAATGCTCCATCAGACTGGACCCAAATGGCCTTCTACTTTTCTACGTCCTCGCCTGAGCTGCTGTCAGACTCACCAGACGGTGACGAGACATCCGTGGTTTTCTCAGGCGGTGGCACCGTCGTTGTCTGAGGCGGTGGCACCGTCGTTGTCGCAGGCGGGGGAACCGGAACCGCGGGCGAGGCAACCGCTGTCGAGACAGGCGGCATCTCAGGCTCAGCCCTCTGCGGCTCAGGCACGCGGTAGAATCGCTGGTCGTTGGCATTCTTGACGCGACCAGCCAGCTCCTGCCGGATGATGCTCTGGAGCATCATCCGTTGTTCAGGCGTCCTCACCACGTTGATGCAGGGCACCCGCTGTTCTGCGGCGACGACGCTCAGGCACCCCGACCCCGGAGAAAAGTTCACGACACAGGCAATGGGCGAGACCGTGTGCAGCAGCATCCGGTACACCTGTGGGCTCCTGCCAATTCAATTCACCGGCCCAGACAATGGACTCAAACTTGCGACACAGCCAGCAGCTCCTCTCGAAGTGCACCAGAGGGACTGTGTCGGTGTCCTCCACGTGCTCAGCCGGTGCCACCTCCCGGGGCCGAAACTAGTGCTGCCTGAGCCGTCCCAACATGCTCAGCCCTGCACCTGGCCGCCGTTGTCGGTCACACCCTTTCCACACACCAAAGGGATGACCTGACCGATTATTACAGCAGGATGAATTCGCACATATCCGACTTCCTGCCCTCCTTCTTCTGGCTCACCGTCACCCGGATGAGGCTCTCAGGCGAAGGCAAGGGCACGTTCGGCAGCACCTCAGAGCAACGATTCCCTATCCCCAGCTCCGTCATTATAAAACTTTGCTCCCAGACGTATCTCAGTCCGAGACAGGACAGGCGGTGCTCACCACGCCATCAGTCGCCAGCCATTTGTGCTCTTTGGCAGGCAGCGGGTCAGACTTGCACCCGAAGTACATTGTCTCCCTGGCCCCGGCGATGCTGATGAGACTTCCAGCGGTTCCCGTCTTCCGCCGTTTGCAGTTCCTCTCCTCCCTTGGCTGGAAGCATGAACTGCAGTCAAACACAAGAACAGGCGGCCAAGCCAAAAAAGGAAACTGCAGTCAAACACAAGAACATGCGGCCAAGCCACGCAGACCGCAAGTAGTCTTTCCGCCCTTGAACACTTTCTTCGCTTCCGATCAGAATAATGCTCTGGGGCGTCGAGCCATGATTCCTGAAAGACTTGAGGATGGTGTTCGAGGCCTTCTGCACGCCGCTATCAAAGGTCAGCCAGCGGTCCTGTCATGCACGGAAAACAATGGAATCCAAGCACCAAGCTTCTGTCTCTGTCCTCGTCCTTGGAAGCCGCCTCGAACACTCGGAAGCAGTTGTCGTACAGGCCACGCTCGAAGACGGCCGGTCGCTGGTACACGTTGTGCACGCGGCTGTAGCCTCCGTTTTCAACGACCAGCGAGGAGTCGAAGATGAATAACACCGGCTCAGCCTGTCAAGCAACCAAAGAAGATCTGACAAGAGCCTGGTCTATGCATCGGACACGGTCCTTCTGAAGGAGCTGATGTTGCTTCAGAGCATCAGCCCAGGCAGCGGAAGGATTCCTGATGTCGCTTTGGTAGAAGTGAATGTAGAAGGCCATTTCCTCCTGTCGTGCAAACGGAGGACACGAGCTTCGCTGCAAACACTGTACACAGACTCCAGCCTCCACCGCCCGCTTGAGCTGCACTTCGCGGAGTTGTTCAGCCGTGCGAGTCGTCCCAGTCCCAGACGTATCAGTCGTCGGATCCGTCTCGGGCAGCAGCTCACGCGAAGGCTTGGTCTCAAGCGGCGGCTCAGGCTTCAGACGGCCCAATTTCATCTTCCACTCGTCGCTGTACCTGGTCAGCAGCTCCAGGATGGGTCCAAACTCCTCCTGGCAGCTGATCATTTCTGGCTTGCAAAAGCCATGTCACTGTCACAACCACGGACCCGCCTTCTGCCCGGAAGTGACAGCAGTGCTGAAGAGCTCATCGTCATCGCCCCGGAGCATTCCTGCAATCCTTTTACTCAGACTGCAGTACGGCGGCTCGCTGAAGGCCGCGACGGATACCAAGCCGCCTTGCTGAGCCCACTCCTTCGGATTCAGACACCTCTGCAGAGACTTCTGAAAATCCATGGCCGTCTTCTTGTCAAGTGCATCGTCCGGGATGGGCAGATGGCTCAGCCGCTCCAGCACGACGAAGCGAAGATGCAGCATCCCTGTCGCTTGCATCGCCTGGTCCCTGTTCAAGTCACGCATGTGGGTGTTGGTCGACAGGGACACACCCAAATGGTCCTTCAGGCTGCTGTCCTCCCGCATCTCCTGGGCAGAACTTCCAAGAAGATCTGAGGTTCGACAGTGGCTGCTGAGGCAAGGACCTGACAGATGAGCGACATGACGAAACGCTGCTCCTCTTTGGACTTCAAGCTGTTGACCCTTGGTATCTGACGGCATGCAGTGTGTGTGTGTGTGCTGAGATTCTTGTCTCATAGGACGAGGTGCACGCGAGTGACGATGCTCCACTTGCCGAACCACGTGGTCGAATTATTCACATACTGGCACGCCTTCATCGACTCAGTCATGCCGGCCGCCTTCGTCTTGTCAAGCATAGTGGTGAGCTTTTGCACCTGGTCAGATGTCTTCACCTGTCGGGTTCAGGGCTTCGGTTTTAAGAGTTTCAGGCCAGGAATCCCGTGCCTTGTAGGCTTCGCCGTTCCAGCGGATGTTCTTCAACAACAAGAACACCTCCTCGTGAGTGGAGGCCTTGTGTTGTGCTGACAAGGCGGCCCGGATCCTGGCAAGAAGAAGCCAGTCACTACTACGGATCCTGGCAATGGGACAGTCACTACTAAACCCCGGCCGGGGTCCTCGTCAGACGCGAGGCGAGGTTGAACGGCATCGCATTGGAACACTCCATAGCCTTCTTGCCGATGTCCTCAGATGCCTGGATCAGACTGACCACGGTCCCTGCCTGGTCAGACGCCTTGCCACGCACCATGGAGATCACGATGCGGCTGCTCAGCGGCGGTACTTCTCGCAGAGGTCGCTGTCAGACGAAGCCGCCGCCTTGCCGAAGGCCCATACCAAGGCCGCAACCTTGGTATGGTCCTCAGGCGACAGCACGATCTCGCCTGACTTGGTCTCATCAGACGTCACCGTCGCCGACACGAAAAGGGAGGTCTGATCAGACCTCCCTTCGAACCAATACTCGGCCGCTTCAGACAGCACCTCAGGCGGTGGCACCTCCAGGGTCTCCACAGAAACGTCCTTCAGGCTCGCTGAGAATGTGGAGGCCTGTCAGACGAGACCGAACCGCCAATTGAGAAGTCAGTAACAATCTAAAGCCAGCCGGCCTCTTTCAGGCTCGAGCCCTGCCAGGCATCTGGAAGAATGGAGTGAGTGCCGACCTTCTCCGCCTTAGCCGGAAAGAGCTTCTTCTTCTTCAAAAAGTCCAGGGCCTCTTTCACGGCTTCACGCCCGGTCTCCATGGCAAAGTCCCCAGACTCCACCTCGGCAGCCTCAGCCGCCGTGGCCTCAGCCTTAGCTTTGGCAGTTGCCTTGGCCGCCTTCTTGGCCCCACTCGTCCGGCCAGTTTTGGGAGCCATGGCTTTCGCTAGAGCCGGGGCAGAGCGGCCCTCAAAGCCGCAATCTCTAGAGCCGGGGCAGAGCGGCACACTGCCGCCTCAACAAGCTCCCCGGTCTTCTCTGACTTCTCAAAGCCGCAATCTTGCGGGGAGGAGGTGGTCAACCCATCATGCCAAGCCGACTTCTGAAACGATTCAGCCGACAGTCCCGGCCTTCTGAAGAGATCGGCTGTTCGGAAATCCAGGGCCAACAGAGAACGTACCTCAGGCATGCAGGGCGATTGAGGCGAGGGTCAATCGTTCAACTTTTAACTGGCTGAAAGAAAGTTTGTGAGATAGTTGCACGCCAAACCAAGTGTGCAGGAATACGCCTCGGCCCGGGGCCGAGGTGTATTCTTGTACACCGCGACAAGATGACATCTATACCAGGTCATAATAACACAATACAAGGCCATCTGATGTACGCCGAGCCAAGTGTGCAGGAATACGCCTCGGCCCCGGGCCGAGGTGTATTTCTGTACGCTAGGCAGACCCGACGACTATCTCACAAACTTTTATTCGGCCAGTCGAAAGTTCTTAGGCAGCCACTCCTCGTGGACCCATCGCCATGACGTCCAGTCTCAGACCTGCAGAGGTCAATTCTCTGGGTCCAGTGGCCTTCCCCACTTGGGAGCGGTTGGCTTGCAGAAGCTTACTCAGTCTTTGCACCTCGGGTCTGACTCTAACGGCACGCTAACGGAACCACGGCAACCACACCCATGACGGAAAGATATGTCCGAAGCTTCTGCTGTTGGCCATTTTGTAAGGAGATAATGCTCCGGGAGCTACCACAGTTCGAAGGGCTACGAGATTGACAATTTTCTGATGTTTGTCCAAAACACTCTGCACGCTCTTGCTTGACATATCAGATGGATAATCACTGTTGCTTTGGAAATGCGAGCACGACTAGCATGGTCAGCCGTGAATATCGTGGTGTAATCCTCTACTGGCAAGTTAAAAATCCCCAACCGATTTGGACAACTTTGACAATATTGATAGGGTGACAGCGACATTATGATAATCATACACAACCTGCCCTGGGGTTACATGGCTTAAACTTCCCTTGACTTTTCAACCCGGGCACGTGGACCCTTTCCGCCTTCGGACGTCGAATCCCCGTGCTTGAAGCAGGACTTCTTGGCCTCAGCCGCAAACAAGTAGTGTCGTTCTGTCGGAACTCCAACGGGTATCTTGGCTCCAGGCCTTCTGCTGGACATGGGCCTGGGTGCGACTGGCACTCAGGCTGTGCAGCCGGCATTCCAAAATTGCACACACGAACACAAGTATTTTCTTCGGCTCCCTCATTCAATGTCAAAAACCGCAAGCTCGGAAGCTCCAGACTGATCTTGGGTGCTTCTGCCGTCTCAGATCAAACGCCGGCACAGCCTCACCTACTACTCAGCCGAATCATTCATGCTGGAGTTGTCGCTGTCAGGCTCGTCGTCCAACTCCGGGATGCAACCTTCAAATGTCCCACTCAGCCGAAAAGCCCGCTGTCATGGCCCAAGGCGCAACCAAGAAAGGTCGGTCGACGTCAAGGGGCGCACTTAAGGGGCGCACTTATAGAGCGCATTTTGGCTAAAAGGCGGAACCAATATATATCAATTTCGTTTGTTTCCGTTTCGACAGATGTTTTTTGGCGATCGACTCGTATATTTCCAGACTGCATGCAGGTAGTTCTGTTGTCAACTTCGTTTTTTTCCGTTTCGACAGATGTTTTTTGGCGATCGTCTCGGATTTCGACGGACTGGCATGCATGCACGTCAGTTTTTCTGCTGCTCGTGAGATGCACAGACGCGACGTACCGTAGAATTTCGGCTCGAATATAATCGTTTAAACAGCACGCATGAAGCAGCAGCCCGAAACCTGAAACGGTTTTTTTTTTACAGTGGCACTCATGACGGCATTCATGTCTTTTCGCAATGCACTCATGACGGCATTCATGTCTTTTCGCAATGCACTCATGACGGCTCTGGCCTCAGATGCGTTTTGTTATAATGCATGCATGGACCCGCTGCAGTTTCACCATGGTTTTGAATCTGTTAATGTCCACGACTGCTATATATAGCCATTTGGCGCCAGGTGCAGCTAGGACCAAAGCCTATAGTTAAAATGGATGGGACGGATCGGAGCCGCTCGCCCGCAGGATCGTGGGAATGGCGGTGGGCGTGGAAGAAGACAGGCGATGTTTGGTGGTGGAAGTGGTTCAAGGCTAGCAAAGAATGGCTAGAAGAGAAGGCCAAGACGAAGCAGAATGAAGACCAGCCTGCTGCTACATCCCCGGCATCATCGCCCCGAAAGCGCAAGAGATCCCGGACTCCATGAGCTAGATGGCTGTCATGAGCCAGGAGCATGCACATTAATTCGATTGCAATGCATTTTGCGGCTGGTGACGTACTGGCTGCCGGTTAAGAGGCCACCGGCTCCTGATCTTCAACTTAAGATCTCGAGGGCCGCCCTGGATCTATCGGATCATTTGTGCTCGCTAAAAATGCCTGCGAGTCCAAGTATTCTAGGCATTTTCACGACCCTGACCGATTTAATTCCAACATGCTGGTCCCAGGTGAGCGATGAAAAGAAGCTACACGAGACGCGAGGATACGGAAGGTGCTCCCCGCCCCCAGCACGCATGCATGCATGCAGGGTTTGGGATTTGAGGGATCGAGCTGCATGCATGTCGCACGCATGCATCCTGTGTGTTTTTTCGCAGAGTTTTTTGGCTCGTGCATATATTAGATAATATACTATATACGCATCCATGCAATTATAATATATATATATATATATATTTGATCCATCGAAGATGGCTGCCCGGCGAGTTTTTTTAAAGTCTCAGCGACAAGAGCGGAGTGAGTTTGTGTGCGGGAAACTGAAGATGCTCTTTGACGATGAGCACCTAGAGCTTGTGGGCAAAACAGGAGAAATGTTCCCACGCGGCTCTTTTCAGAAGCCTCACCTTCGTGCGGCTTTTCGTTTCACAGCAGAATGCAGTGGACGATTTTTCACGACCCGCCTTTGTAAACTCGTTGTTCGGAAGCTGCTGAATTTGCTGCAGATCGTTCCGATTCTGGCACCTGGGCAATCTTTCGCCAACTGGACCGATTGTCAGTCGAAACGACTGAAGTACATGGTTGCGAGGGCCAAGAGGAGCACAGCAGTGGACTTTGAATCGCCGCAGCCCGATGCAGCTCGTTTGCCTTCTGCAGCCATGGATTGCCTTGAGACGCAATTGTACGATCCGACTCCTGCTGCTTCGTTGCAAAAAATGTATTATATATATATATATGTAGTATGTCCATGCAGACACACAGTTTTTCACGCATCTATGTTCAGGAACGGACGAGCGACATGTGTCCCGAGGACGCTATTGCTTTCAAAGGAGCTGTGCCGAGTATGATCTTAAATTGCAGAGGACGAAGAATGGACCCCATTGCAGTGGCGACAGTCATTGATGGACTGCTTCATTTATAAACCGATCGGATCCAAGCATGCATGCACGCATGGTTTATAACTATACTTTGCACGCATGCATATTATAGGACCATTTGGGATGGACAGCAGAAGAAGCCGAAGAGTGGTTGGAGGCCTTCGAAGACAAAGGGGGCAGATTAATTTTTATAAGACATGCATGTGAGCGATGCTCAGGAGTGGCAGCCCCGTGGTTGGGATGCTGACGAAGTAGACACCTTGTTGAAGGTCTTCTGGCCGCAATGTAGGATGTTTGAGCATTAATAAGCATGAGGGCTATCTATTGAATATATGTGATGCTGAGGAGATGGACGATGAAACCGAGGATTGTGGGCAGTTCGTATTCTGGTAAGAATGCACATAGAAGCATGCCAGTGGTGGAGGAATTATTGCGACCAAAAAAGAAGGCCTGCCGAAAATTGGGTCGCTTCATGTTTTCTGTATAGGGCCTGTAGTATCGTCCTGGGCCAGGATCAAAAGTTGGCCAGCAGTCTGTCACAGCCCGAGGTCCAAAAAACTGTGTTTCTTAAGATTCTTTTGGGATCTTCCAAGGTACGAGGATGTGCCGAAGCCATCTTTGGAAACGAAGCCACGTGTCACCCCCATGGCTCAGAAGCAGCTCAAGTTGGCCAAGAAGCTGGAGGTTAGAGAATAGTGTACACGCATGGCACGCATGTCATTGGCAGCATTTAAAATGCATTCATGTATCACGCATGCACTCATGCATGCATATACAGGGACATTCATGTATCACGCACTCCTGCATGCATCCCACGCAAGCTAGCCATTCATTCCTGCAGGCCGAGAAAAATCGTGAGTGCTCAAAGAACAAGAAGACTCCCGCTGCTAAGAGCTCTGCAGCGAAGAAGCCCAAGCCGCCCTCGAAGGCTAAGCCGAGCAAGGCCCCGAGCAAGAAAGGCAAGGTTGAAAAGCCGACGAAGGGCCAAGAGAAGGCAAAAAGGGGTCAGAGTCACTACGGCCGAGCCTACGATGAGTATAAAGCCCGCTTTAGGCCCGGTGCTTGGAAGGTTTACAGTATAGATATATTGTAATTATATTCACTCGTCCCTTCTAAGGCACGAGTTCGCCTGCGACCCGATGGGCAAGGTCTTCAGGGACGAGTTGTCCAAGAGTTGGCTGCAAAGCCAGGAAAGGTACGATGTGGTTTCGAAGATGAGTGCCAGCGAGAGATCCAAGAGACGGCTGACTTTGTAAGTTTGCTACCTGGTAGCTGTTTCCTCAGTTGCAAAGCACGGGAACAATTCGTTGCAATTCGGTGCATGGGTTTGTGTTGCTTCTAAAACAGCACGCCCATAATTCGATCGTACTTCGTCTGCCCGCATGCAACAGGAGAGCAGAAAACATTCTAGTCTTAAGAATCAGACGCATGTCTCCACACATGCACATGCATGGATCGACATGCATGATGGTTTTTACCTTTTTCGCAGCCTTTGGTCCCGAATGCTGCTTTGGACGAGCTCGCAGCAGGATCGAACTGTGGAGGCAGCACCCTG